GAAATATCACAGATATGCATTGAACTTTTTGAATGCTCACTGGGATCCTTTTCCATCAAGGAGGGAAACTGCTGTTCCCCAGTTAGGCATTCTGGGTGCTTCAAAGAGAAGGTTGTTCTTGTGGTTAATTGACACAGGCACCAAAATCCCCAAGCACATGTGCAACTTCCCTAACTTCAACTCTGCACCTCCAGGGAGTGCAGGCCAAAAAGGATGTGAGACCAGCCAAAAAAGAGGTGTTCTTGGCTCGAGAGAGCACTTTGCACCTATTCAGAAAGAGTGTTTGGAAGGTTTTTCACAAATGTAGGCAAGCAGCTCACTCAGGCTGTGGGCAGGCAAAGTATTTGTAGTATTCTGTTAACCACTTATCTTCAGATCATGCTCTTCTCACTGGGCATAATTACTAAACCCCGTGGATGTCTACAGAGACTCAAACAAAAGCACCGGGCAACATCAGAACAGCTGCTTCAGGGGCCAAAATAGTTCTTGGTTGCTCAGTTTTAAAAATTTTCTCTATCGAAGACAATTTTTCAAAAGACAAACCTAGCACTTTTCTGTGGAAAGGAAATGCTTCATTTTTGCAATTTTTACTCTAAATCTCTGCATATCACTGTTTAGCTGATACTCTTGGAGAACACATTTTGTATGGTATTATTGGTGTAATATAAACATGTATTACTTTAAATTCTAAATATACCGTTGAAATAAGCAGTAAGTGGTAAACATATACTTCATTCATTTAATTTTTTCAAAACTGAATTTCTTCCCCACCTAACCATCTATATATGGGTGGTTATAAGCCACTCACAATACAGACTTCCTCAATCTGAGTGAAAATAGGTTCATGTGTCCATAAACTTCCAGTTTATACTTTTCCCCATTTGATTTAAAATGATTCTTCTCAGACAACAGATTTTTTTTCATCTTTGTATCTCTACTTCAGATGTTTCCTGTCTTCTTCCTTACACAATCAATGTATCTGTTACACCAGACCACTGGCAAAACTAAGCTCAAGGAGCATATAAACGTTTCTTAGTTTAACATGCTAACCAAAAGAATCATGATTTTTAGTTGCTGAAGGAGATGATTTATGGTCTTAAGAAATTATGAACCACTATAGCAAGTTCACTGCTAAACTGATTCAAGACTTCCTGAAGTCTGTGGGAGCTCTTCTATTGATTTAGATGGGCTTTGGAACAGATCCTACACTTAAAAATAGGACTACTGTGTATTACACATGGAGTAATGAACAAAATATATCTCAATAAATATAAAATCTGAGGGGTGATTTTTTTAAACAAAATTTCCTCTGTAAGCACCCTAGTTTTACTCTTTAATGCAGTATCTTCTTGATTACAACAGGTTTATAAGCTTACTTGACGGAAAAAGAGTCAGTAAGGCTAAGTCTTAAAATAAAGCAATGAATGTGGCATGATGCAGATTTAAAAAGTTAAGTGCTGTAGACAGCCTCTATATAGAAATATCATTGTCCATTGCAGGCAGGCTAGTGAATGCCCAACATAACCATTTTCCCTTTCCTTTTTAAACTTTTATTCTATTTGTAAAAGCTCTGTGATGCTCAATGCTGATCCATCTTTTCAGAATACGGAATTACACCCACTTCCTTTTGTGCAAGAATTACAACCAACTTCCTTCAGTGCAGTAGTATCTTTGCCTCCAGTTTCTGTTAGGAAAGGGAGTTGGTGTTATTACAGTGAAAGAACGTAGCTCAGCTGGCTTAGACACAATCAGCTGATGATAATTAACCATCAAAGCTGAGCAAATCTTGTATCAGTATCCCCTATCTTATTTGTTTGGATTTTGTGATTTATCACAACTCCCTGTATCATTGCAGTAAGAAGCCTGCATTCATGTACTGCTTGATCCAGATGAATAGCTTTAGAGCCAATATTTTAAATGCTCTATCATGTACTACTTTGTTAGAAGACAGGTCTCCATCCTCCTCATACAGTTCCAATGCTATTTAATGTGTACAACTTCTGTCTTCAGAAGATTATAAGTGAAATACCTCACTTAATTATCCAAACAATATTCCAGCTCCCATTCTTTCAAGATAAATCTGAGCAATTAGCACTGTTAGACTAAGAATCTGGGGTCTGGAGATAAAATTTCTCCTGGTCCCTAACTAGTAATAATTATAGTTAAACCTGGGCATGGAAAGATTGGAATAATTTAGTGTCTCTTCTTCTTTCTTCTTCAGATCACAGAATGCAAATAAGATCCAGAAATAACTTTTCTATTCCACAGCAGCTGGCAAAGTCAGGTGTTAAGATTGGCTTTTAACATATGATCACAGTGACTACTAAACAGTATAAATTTTTTGAAGTGACAGCTTGCCAGTTCTATAGCAACTTGGACTATAATTCCTGTTTTTATAAACTTCCAACCTTTATAAGTTAAGCCCATTTTTATTGTCAATACACTTCAAATTTAACATAATGCCAAGTCAATTTTTTTCCTTAATTCTTGCATTCCCAGAAATTACTAGAAGATGAAAAAAGAGAAGCATTTAGCTTCATTTTTAGACCTGCTTTTTCTTCAGTTTGCCAACTGCTTATAAGCTCGCTTCAGCTTTTTGTTTTCTTGAGCATGTTTGCCACTTTAAAAGTATGAGGACATAGAAGAATCAATAAAAGAAAGTTAACACAGGTTTAAAAAAGCTCCTGCCTGCCAAGGCCATGCTTAGACTGACAGAGTCAACAAAAGCACAGATGAAGCAGACTAGGACACCTGCAAACTCTTACCGTTGGCTATGGGCCTTCACTCAGTACAAGAAATAAGTATTTTTGTGATGTGAAGCATCTGAGTAGACCACCTGAAGTCACCGGAGCTGCAGCTGATTGTCACCACTATCATCCTCATCCAACAAATTTTTATGCTTAACTTCAAGCAGGTGTGCTTGTGATTCAAATTTCCAAAAGCACCTGAAGTCCTGCTCCTGCAAACTCTTGATTTTTGCACCCTGACTAACAGGATAACCTGCAGTCTTACCCTCGGCTTCAGGGCACTAACAGGCCTTGCCGGGGACTCTGACCCACGCTCCTTGCCTGTGGGTTCAGGGTCTCCATCTCTGTCCTTTGCCTTTAGTCTCTGCCTCTCAAGCTGCATTGTAGGAGCATCTGTCTCCAGCCCTATCCCTGGCCCTGTGTCCTAGAATGACACTGGACCTACGTTGTACATAACTTGTTGCCTGGATGGATCCCACCCTGCAGCTTGCCTTCCGTCATGTCTTTGGCCATGCCTCCTGGATGAACTTTGGAGCCACATTGTAGCCTTGTCTCTATTCCTGTCTCCTTTTGCTCCTGACTGGATTCTCTGAAGGGATGCTGGACCTGGTTCATTGCTTTGCCTCATCTGGGACAGTCGATGGACCCTGCTACCTTGCCCCGCTCGGGTGCTGTGGGACTGGACCCTGCTTGGTGAGGGCACTGCCTGTGCTGGGGTCACCCTTGGCTCCCACTTCCCTTTCTCTCAGGGAACAGGCAGACCCTGCAGCTCCCTGACACTCGGAGAGGTGATTCAATCAGTAAAATGAACCATTTTCCTTGAATTCATTGGGCTTTAGATCAACCCATGGAAGTTTTGTTTAAGACAATGAGAGTATTTGCAGCCTGCAAGATCAGCCCTTCAGTTTCTTCACTGAGATTCCCCCTGAAGTGCAGAACTTCAGATGCTCTGCAATAAAAACGTGAAAACCCAGGCATGCTTAGTGCAGTGTACCATTCCTTGTTCATGTGTGCTATTTCAACTCATTTGAAAAAAGTAGAACTATCTGAACCTACCTTTCAAAGTGCAGAGAAGGCAAATGGGATAAGTAAAAAATAATCAATTTTCAGCCAAAAAAGACTGATTTACGAAGTGAACTTTGTACCATATCTATTTACAAGGCACAAAGTAATCTTAGAGATCTAGGACCTCTCTCCCAGAAAATTCCATCCTCCAAGGAAAATCTCTGCCAGTGAAAAGTGCTGGAATCATTCTTCCAGCAAAAAGTCAGGGATGATACAAAAAAATGGAGGGAAGGAAGGGGACACAGTAGAATAATATGTTATCCTGATTATCTACTCACACAGAGGCTACACCAATAGTAGTTCATTAAATGTAACAGTTTTCTGGCTAATAAGCCACCTGGAATTGTCTGACCAGGGCCACACTATTAAATTCTCTCCGCCTCCAAAACAGGGTGACCACATCAAAACTCCAATTAGGAACAGTTCCTGGCCTTTGCCAACCCCTGAACTGTGCCTGGGAATTGACTGGGAGAATGCTATCAGTCCAGACCAAAATTGTACCAGGATCTCTTTCAACAATAAATCTGTACAGAGAAGAAAGTTCAGTGCAGGAGAAAGGTCCCTGAAACTACTTCATTTACTTGTATAGCAGTAGCTCTAGACCCCAAGGAATGCACTTTCTGTATCTTTCTCTTATACTACAGTGGAATGGCTGAAACTGCGGAGCCATAATAATTTTGCTGACTCCTCTCTATTATGTATTCATGCCATGGAAAAAATCAAGCCTGCAGAATCCCATGATACTAACTGACACCAGACAACACAGATGGTACATGTTCTGCTTGACCCGACCAGCAGCAAAGTCAGAGGATTTGGTCAATCAGCCTGCACTCATGTCCTGACTGGCCATCTGCCTGTCTGATCAGAACCCAGGTAACTACTGGCCTCACTGGGAACCACATCTTAGGCTTAGCCAGAACATAGACTGTTTCTCCTCCACCAAGGAAAACATACCAGATGGGATACTACATCTGACAGTGGTGAATGCTACATCTACAAAGGTGTGGATCAATGACATTTTAAGGATCAGTGACCCCTTTAATGGCTTTTCCAAAGTCAACAGAATGACACTAACATAAAAGCAGAATCAAGCCTGCTGAAATTCTGGTTTTGCACAAATATAACTGGATATAACATTTCCTCATGCATGTGGGCTTCCCAAGAAAACTCTGAGGATTAAATAGTTACCTTCTTTAAATTTTGCTTTATAGTTGTACTGTCTCTCTCCACAACCTTCATCATTTCTTGGCTTGCCATATACAAGATGTTGGCTGCAGAAAAAGAAACATGCAATAACTTAAGTACACAGCAAATTTTTAGAAAAAACAATATGGGCCCAACCCTGCAAAATTAAGGCAACTAGAGCAGTCACCACCCTGACAATCCCACTGAAAAGAATCCCACTGACAGAAAGGGCAGAATTTATCTCACCTAACTGAATCATTAAAAAGGGCACATAGACTAAATTAAGTCACCCCCCCATTCATTCATTCCATGATTAATGGAAAGGGAAAGACCCCTTTGGAACATAACTCTATCCATCTATCTTACAGACTTCTGAATCAGCCCATGGCAATGACTTTCTCTCTCCTGATCAGAGAAGGAACTTTGATGACTAGCTTTGACTACATACTTTTATAAAGGTAAAGGTAAGCATGATACATCACCCATGAAGAGTTTGCAAGAGTGGGCTTTTAAATACTAAGCATACATTAAAAGGCATTATTAATCAATAGATTATTAAATTATAGACATTTCAATATGCAAGTCATTCAAATATTCAACATAACAAATAATAGAAATGATGGCAAATACAAGTTATCACTGAAAACTGCAGTCCAGCATAATATTGATTGTACTTACCCAGACACGACTGGACTGGACACCAAATGTCTAAGCCTTACCTTTCTGGAATGTAAAGTACTAAAAATGGCTCAGTGCAATTTATTGTGAGTTCATCTGCAAGATACTGTCTCAGAGATGTAAATGACTGAGTCTAACATTTGGACATCTAATTAAAAGCTGTCTAATTTTATAAGATGTTGAGTTCTGGCAGATCCCATGTATGTTAGACAGCAGTGGGAACTAAGCACTTCGGAAAAGCGGGTCACTTTGCCTGGATGCCTAAATATTCATAAATTGAAACAATTTGACACAGAAGGATCACACTGTGTCCACCTAGCCTGGTGTCGTGGTTTAACCCCAGCCAGCAACTAAGCACCACGCAGCCGCTCACTCACTCCCCGCACCCACAGTGGGATGGGGGAGAGAATCAGGAAAAAAAGAACAGTTTAATAGGACAGAAAGGAAGAAAATAATAATAATGATGATAATAATAACAACAATAATAAAATGACAATAATAACAATAAAAGGATTGGAATATACAAAGCAAGTGATGCACAATGCAATTGCTCACCACTCACCTACCAATGCCCAGTTAGTTCCTGAGCAGCGATCCCTCCCAGGGCCACTCCCCCCAGTTTATATACTAGACATGACGTCACATGGTATGGAATACCCCTGTGGCCAGTTTGGGTCAGCTGCCCTGGCTGTGTCCCCTCCCAACTTCTTGTGCCCCTCCAGCCTTCTTGCTGGCTGGGCATCAGAAGCTGAAAAATCCTTGACTTGCTATAACCACTATGTAGCAACAACTGAAAACATCAGTGTGTTATCAACATTATTCTCATACTAAATCCAAGCCATAAGACTATACCAGCTACTAGAAAGAAAATTCACTCTATCTCAGCCAAAACCAGGACACCTGGCTTCTGTTACAACAAAACCTACAGAAGTTCGGCAAGAAATTTCAGCTCACAGTCTAAAACCTGGCTTTGAACAAGCACACACATCTGTTAGATTATGAGTTTTGCTGCTAGAATAAACCTCATGTATTCAACTGCAGAATCAAGAGTTGCTACATGACCATCAATGTTGCATTATGTCTGCAGATAGTGAGAGGTCCTCCAAAGCATGTTCAGACTTACCCAGTTTTAATAGGGGCTATCCATTTCTGACACCAGTGCTGTACTGAAGAAATGTGCAGATAACACCATCCAAAGAATTAGCACTTCTTTTATCCTTTTTCTCTGCCCAGTCAGCTTACTGTGCTAATAAGATGGCCAAGGCTCTCCTGTCCTCACGATCTGAAGCCTCTATGCTTGTTGGATCACAGAGACATTCATAAACTATATGTGGGAATGAAGGGCAATGTTCTTCTCCTTTCTCACCAGTTTGCAAAACCAATGGAAGACCCTGAATGGCTAAATTACCTTAAAGCATTTCAATTTCCAGGTCCTAGAATGACTGAAAGTATTCTAAAATACTAAATCCTCTCCTGAAAAACAGGAGAAAATGGAAAGGCTCTGACAACTTTAAAAATCTGAACCAATGAAGTTTTGTGCATAAACAGTTAAGGACGGTGTTGGATCTGATACTGCTCTGACACAGGAGTAATACTTTCTCACAATATGTGATAGGGGAGGAAATGGCAATCACATAGGTCTTTGGTGGTGACCAAAACATGGAGTTGGCTGAATTCCAGCAGTGCTCTAAGGAAACAGAACGCCACCGGAGAGATGAGTGATGGCTCCAGAGATCAAATGTTAAAAGACAAAGCCAGTGCTCTCAAGTGACAAAAAAAAAAAAATAATCCTAGAAAGTAGTATCTACTTCTGAGCCAGCCAAAGAAGATGCAATTCAGTTATATGCCTGCAGAGCTCTGTCTTTTTCAATTAAACATTGAATGCAGCTAGTGCAAGTTCTTCCTCTCCTAGACAAGATGAAAGGGTTGCAAATGTGACATCATATAGACAATCCAGCAAATTTGCTGGTCCCATCCTATTCTACTGGGCAAAGGGGCCTCCGTGCAGTTTTGTGTCTAGCAACCCCATCATATAATCCTGTGGTGCAGCTGGCAAAAGTCTGTCCATCTACAGCATTATTAAGTTCATACCCTGACATTGGTCTTCTGTTTCTCAATTCAGCTCCAAACACCAATGCTTTTACACACCTTTGGTTTTAGGACACATGTTAGAATGCACCTTTAAAAATCATCTAGGAAAACCTTAAGTGAGAGGTGTGAAAGACAATGAGGAATTCCATAGGTATTTAATTAATTTCAGATTGATTCCTGTTTCTAATGTGACAAATGTGACTTTAATGCTCAAAACGCCTACCTATAAATGAAGCTAGCTGTCTGTCAAAAGCACTGCTCTGTGTTGGAAGGAAAGGCAGAACATGGAGACCAGCCCTTGCTACCCTAGGTGCTGGTCCTTCAGGTGATGGATGTGGCTTACTATGGATTTAAAAGATTTTACAAAGCACTAAGTGCAAGACCCTCAATTTGGCAGGCTATCTGTCGCAATAGCACTTTTACCCAACCCATTATATGAGGATTTCAGTATGCCGGGCTTTCTATTTTCCAGTCCAGAATAAGGTTCTTGTTAGTAGGACATGGTGGATAGCCTACCTGCAGTCAGAACTTTTGCCATTACCTTGCAGCATCAGCAGTGGATGGTAGCCAGGAATGAAAACACTGCTGGCCATCAGTGCAGAACTTGACACATACCAGTTCCTTCAACGTTACTGGGATTCTGCAGCCAGGTCTCCACCTCCAGTTCAGTCATACAGCAAAAATGGTAACAGTAAGTGCTCCCCTTCTCCCATCTTACTGGTTTCTCTGTCTACCTCTTGTTCTTGGTGGGTTCTGCTCATATTCTGAGTTGCTCTTATGTTTTTTTCAGTAAAAAATAAGAAATGAAGTGGAATTCACACACTTATTAAACTTAGATTAGTCATAAAGATCCTAAAGGTAAAACTGTAAGACAGCAAAGGCAATAATGACAGTACTTTAAAAGGAACCATCTCTGAAGGCTTGTGTACTGTGTAAGAAAGGGAACCAGGAAGGCAGGATTAAGCTAAACCGGATGAATGGCAAGGTTCAAGAGTCTATTTCAACCAAACAGAAATCCTTCAAATTTTGGAAACATGATCCTAGGGAAGCCAATAAACAGGAACTTAAACTTCAGCAGGCGTTAAGTAAGAGGAAATTGCAAAGAGCAAAAGTAGGTTTCCAAGAACAAACATTAAAAGATTAAAAAATAAACAATAAAATATTCCTTAGATATATCAGAAACAAGGGGCCTACAACAGAACTTGTACAGGCTAAGGGAGTAGATAAAGAAGATAATTACACTGTTTGGAAGCTAAATGACTTTCTTTTTTTTGCATCCAACTTTCTTGTTCTGTGCATTCAGGAGGTTTCTTTTCTCTATATTCTTTTTCTGGCAATAACAATTTTTCTTTGTGTAGTGAGGTATCAAGAAGTAGCAACAGTGGGGAGCATAGAATATATCAGGGCTAGAAGGTACATTTAAGAGTTTTAAAGAACCTTAAATAAAGAATTGCTGAGCTGATAACAATCCTGCTTCATAAGAACCACCCTGTCCTGTGGCTTGGGGAGTAGAGAATGCTAATTGCTACTGATTTTACAAAGGAAAATAGCATTTTACTGATCTATAATTTCTTAAGCATTTCAATAAACACAACCAGATGACAAAAATTACTGGTCTTCTAAAAGCTCTCTGTTACATTTCACACAATAAACTTTGGTTGAAAATAAACACCTGTAAAAGGAAAGGTTGTAAAGGGTGAAGAAATAGTCTGAAGTGAAGAAAAAACATTAGGATTAGATTAGATTAGATGTCATCACAGCAAGGAATAAGGTCTAGATTCACCACAAATATAAAAAAAAGTAGTAATCATTACTGAAATCTCTAAATAATCATTGAACACACCTGGTGATTTGATCATTTCTGGGGTGGGTCAAATCACCTCTCAAGATGACTCTCTTTTCAGCGATAAGACCTTTAGACCTTAACTTGAATTAAGTGCCTGAACTGAACTGGGATGAATCCTGGCCTAACATTGTAGTCCAGCTTCATATTAAAACCATGGGTAACTTATTTCTTAAAGATCTGGTCAATGGATAAGTAGTTTAATGACAGCATTTGCACAGGACACGATGCTAGTGAGTTTGTGAGGATCGGGCAGTGAGAAATGTGAGAGAGACCTAAAAAGAAGACAGAAAAAATTAACACACTAGCAAATGAAATTCAAGTTGAAGAAATGGTAAGGAACATACACGAGGAAAAAAAAAATCAAAATATTCTCTTCCCTTACAAGCTTCTAAATTAATGCAAAGAATGGAATCAGAAACCAGAGGCTCCTAAGATGACTGTTGTTCACCGTGGACATTTACTCAAAATTCC